ATTGAATGGATTGTGATTATTTGTAAACTGATCTGTAACAGCTTATGCTTTTCTTTAATATCCTTTTAGATTTATAATCCATCCTCTTCAATTGTTAAACTTGTCACTATTATCATAACCATTTATGTTTTTCACTTAATTCTATCATTACTATTTCAACTGATTTATTCTCTATCATTTTTAATTTTGAAAAATTACAATTCCTACTCTCTCAAAATTGCCAACTTTCCACTCTTGTTCTTCTATTTAATCTCATTTTTACAAAATCTACCATTTTATATTTTATTAAAGTAAAAAATTAATGAGAAAATCAATCAACTTGCAAAATTAGATCAATCTAATCTTACTCTTATTTCCACTTTATTTGGGTCTAATTACTTATTATCATTTATAAAACTATTTATACTTACATCATTACATTATTTTATTAAAAATTCCTACTGCTTATTGTATTTTAACAATATTATTAACCTCTAACACTTTGATTACTTATCTTATATATATACAACCACATATTTAACCTGATAAGTATTCTATGAAAATAAATATGTAAATTATTTATCAAAGCAGAAGAATTTGCTAATATTCAGATCTTAGATAAATAATCCAATTAGATAACTAGTGATTTTTTACATTTTCTATTACCTTCTACAGCTTTTACAGCTTTCCTTATTCTTATTTATTTACTTTTTTAGATATAATAACTTTTAATTAAATTTTTAGACAGATAGTAATCAAACTTTCACTTTGATAAGTTTTATCTTTATTTAATATAATGTAAATTGATATTGATTTAGTTTGATTTACATTAAAATAAATACAGTCGACCCTCTCTATAATCACACCCCTTGGGATCATGAAATGGTGTGACTATATGAAGGTGTGCTTATACCAAGGGATTTATTATTATAATCACTTATATGTAAAAAATATTGTTAGTGTGATTATATGTAAAATTTTGTATTAATTAATTTTAAAATAAATTATATAAGATTTTAAATTTTTGTTAAAAAGTTTGAAGAAGATAAGTATATATTATTTTAGTATGAATTAAACATAAAACCAAAATTAATCAATATCGCAAAATGGTTGAAATCGACATTATCATACTATATCACATACAAATAGTATCTAAAATATCTAAAAATAAAAAGAGTACGATCTCGGTCAATACTGTTCTGTTTCTCATGAAAAAACTACTATTTGAATCCTGATTTGATTCCTCACACTCTTCCTCATTGGATTTTTTCCAAGAATTTTTACTTAAAAAATGTGCCCATTCAACGGCGGCTGCGGCTTAGCCTGCGAATAAACAAAAAAACCCTACCTTTCAAAAATATTTCTCTCTTTGTTCCCCACACCCCTATCCACATAAAATTTTTCGAAATAGTCTAAACAGTGTTGTTTTTTGTTAAAATATTTTTTTCTTCACTTCTTTTCGAAAAAATTTTTTCCTTTTTATCTTTTTCTTTTTTGCTTACTTAAAAGTGAGCATCAAGGGGTATCCCAACCAATGATCATGATCGACATACTTTGGATAAACAAATCTCACGTGATGACACCTTTCCCCTTCCTAAACAATATATTCTCTTTTGATTGACCTCTGCCTTTCTGCAGATCCTCTGTCGTCAAAGATCACGTACAAATCTAGTGTAAATTATTATTTTGTTTCTTCATGAGGTCTTCTATATGGTATGATAGTAGCTACCACTTGGTTTGTATTTTGTCAGCCTACCGTAGTTTTAAATGGAGTTCTGGGTGGTCATTGCTATTTGCTTACTAAGTGTAAATCTGCTTTGTCTAGATCCGTTCCTTCCTGATAACCAGGTAAAGGGTATAGGTTACTATCTGTTGCTTTATTATAGGGTTCTTGTAGTGGATTCTGCGTGATATTTTTTCTGTACTTGTGAATCTACAAGTATGAAGAGCCTCTATTTGAACCTTTCTTTAGACGCACCTTCTTTGGTCAGGTGGTCGTTATATCTGGAATTAACCAGACATTTAGGTTTTTATAGAGTTGTAATTGTCTTTTTTAATAATTTCTATTTGTAACTATTTCCCTTCTTAGGAGAGTTGTTAGTTTTTAAATTTTATTTAAAAGTTGGGATCGAAGGGCATTTAGAAATTATGTTGCTGTATTAACAACCTCATTTGAATTTCTTATTGATGGCTTAGTCATTAAATATGGATTTCTTGGTTAGGTCGGAGGGGATTCTGATGATCAGTCGATTTAAACGGGTTTGAGCTTTTATTAGCAATAGGACTACAGGAGATAGTCATAGTTTAGTTGTTTTTCCTACTTTGTAATTTTTATTTAGTATATTATAAAAAACTTTAATAAGCTTATGGCAGTACTGTATCATTAAAATACAAAAAAAAACCATTCGAATCCTCATAACTAGATGAATCCAATAAACTAATATACATCGATTTCTGATCAGCCAATAATGAGATATTCACGATTGAGTTTGAAATCGGGTTCCTTTGAGTAGAATTTATTGAATTATAATTTTAGCCAATAATTCAATTGTAATTATCTCGTGATTGGATGATCCGAAATCGATGGTTATTAGCTCATTAGATTCGTCTAGTTTTGAGAATTCGGATGGTAGTTGTTTCATGAGAAACGAAGCAGTATTGACTGAGATCGTACTCTTTTTATTTTTAGATATTTTAGACATTATTTGTATAATAATAAATTAATATTGATATGATTTACTGTGATTATATAAAGGGATATAATTTGATGTGATTATATAGGAGGCGATTTTCTTACATCTATTATAAGATGGGACTAAAAATTGATGTGATTATATTTATATATATTATGTGATTATAAAAGGGGTATTTTCTTATTTAAAAAATCAGAACTGAATTATAATGTGACTAAAGAAGGGGAGTGATTATATAGGAGATGACTATAGAGGGGGTCGACTGTATACGTTTTTGTATTTTCTTTTCTTATATTGTAATTTTGTTGAATTTTACTTATTTTTAATAAAGATTATGCAAAGTTACTGTACTTTAATAATAAAAAATTGTTTTAGTCTGAAAACCTTATTTTTCTAACTCATATCCTATATAAATAAAATTTACTAAATTTATTTTAAGATAATATTGATTATATTATTATTTAAATAAATAAATAATTAAATATTATATAGAAATTTGCTAGAAAAATAGGATTTTAAGATTTTTTTGACTAAAATTTAATTATTATTACAATAAAAATCAAAATTTTATTAAAAAATTATCAGAATCCCATTTTTCTATTAAAGCTCCTATATAATATAAAGTAAATATTAATATAATTTTATGTAATTTTATAAATAATATAATTTTTATTTTTGGTTTTTATATTATTAAAGCTTTTTACTTATTATTTATCTGTAAAGATCATCTGAATTTCTTTTATATTATAATATTTTAAATATTTACTTTAATTTTAACAATTTTTTTTTATATGTTTTAGTATATATTACTTTAATTATTATTAGTATTTTATTATTTATATTAATATAATAAGATTTTTTATTTAAAATAAAATAAATAATTAATAATTTTACAAATATATTAGAAAAATATTTTTTTAATATTTAATCAAATTTGAAAAAATATGTAAATAAAAAAATTAATGACTTAAAATTATTATCAATATTAAAAAACTAGAAAATATGTTTTATATAAAATTAATGATATTTTAATTGCTCTGAGTTATTTTTATAAAAATAATTAATAGATATTATATAATTAATATATTAATAAAATATTAAATAAAATCTTATTTTTATATTAATTTGTATTTTTATATTTTTTTAAATTTAAATTTAATTTAAAGTTACATATTTTTCTTATAAAGATATAATTTCAAAGGATTTTTTTTTTTAAATCATATATCTTAAGAGATATATATATTTATACTATATTTTGCTTTACTTTATATAAAAAAAAATTCATATTATGTTTATAATAAATCCTATATTTATTTATGATTTACTTATCAGATTTACTTATTAATTGCTTCAAGTTTTATAGTATATGTATGCATTTGTGATTTACTTATTAATTGTTTTACTTATTATATAAATTTGAATTAGGTTTTATTTTGCTTTTTACTAAAATTCTATTATACCTGCCTTATTAAACTTTATATTCATTCATGATTCATTTTACTATTTTAGTAAGCTTAAATTTATAACTTGAAAAATAAAATAAGAATACATTAATTTCAAATTATTAAATTCGAATGCATTACATTTTTATATTCTAAAACTTAATTTATCAAAATCAAAAGTATATTTTCTTTTAGCTCTAAATTTATCAGAATATTAAAATTAAATATACAAAATATGTATAACTTTTAAAATAAACCAGAATGCTAAAATTAAGTATATATGTTTTTCACTTCTAAAGTGGATTGGTATGCTAAATCATATACATTTTTTATATTCAGAAAAAGCATTTATAATAATAATAGTATTTATAATTATCTATTTTAGTATTAATAACCAAGATTTTATACCTATATTTTTATATAATTTTCGGTAAGATTTTAACACCCCAGATTTATTTCCTATGATTTTCTTATCTTTTCTATTGCTAAAGTAATTAGCAATTGAAAAAAATATTTTTATTGAATTATTCAAATGCCTAAAAATTCTATAAAGAATAAATATTAAGATTATGCATTTGGATAAACTAAACCTTTTTTTAAGATTGACTCATTTTTAAGACTCATCAGTGTTGTTTTCAAAAATTTTCTGGAAATGTAAAACACACGATTTAGCAATAAATATTTATTTACAAAAAAACTGATTAATAGAAATAAATAAATTTGAAATTATATCTGATTATTTTGATTATATTGATTATGTTGATTATGTTGATTAATTTGATTATTTGATTATTTGATTATATTAAAAAAAATAAAGTCTTATTAATATATGTATTATTATATATGATAACGAAAAATGGTATAATAATGAATAAAGGAATAGTTATTATATAGATTTTCTTTCATGAATAGTAGTATCAATATTAGAAATGGTAGTTGAATGCTTTTCGGTATTAGTCAATTCCCGGTTGGAATTTGATAGAATGTTCCCAGCACTCATACCAATTAATTTTTTCAAAGATTTAGATAACCTTCTATCTTGATTTAAAGGGTTCAAAGAAGATAAAGTCTTTGCAGCATTATTGAAATCGGTCTTTTCTTCTAAATTCCCAAATACGTTATATGTCGAAGTATTACTGTCAGTTCTGATACGTTGTGAATGGATTCTTTGTTTCGCATCTTCTAAATCTCTATAGATTGATTGTATTGCATTCTTAACACCATCCTCTGATCTAATATTTACTCCTACTAATGCAGCCTTTTCAATCATTTTTTTATCCGTTGTGACCTTCACCAAAATATCCGATAATTTATCTACGCTTAATTTTTTCAAACAAAATCCAATTCCCATGTTTTCAATTCGATCCCCCCAAAAAAATTGATCTCCAAAAAATGGTTTTATAATGGTTGGTTTACCGGCACGTAATCCTGCTGATGTTGTACCTGCTCCACCATGATGCATCACCGCATCTATCCGAGGAAACAACCAATCATGTGGTACTGATTTTAACGGATATATTGATGGTGGATAATTTTCTTCCTCATTCTGATCCGATTTTTTTTGTTGTAGTCTATCGCTCCATCCTTTCGATAAAATTGCTGCTACTTTACTTTTTTGTACGGCTTCTACGAGTGATTTTGTCATCCCCTGTGAATCATCTACTACAATTGATCCAAATCCAATATATACAATTGGCTTTTTATTCTTACGATTTTTATCTATAAATTCCAACAAATCTTCTGGAGGTGTCCATCCGAGGTCAGGATTATCTAAAAACCAATAACCAGTCACATGAATCCAATCGGCCCAATCGGATGCCTTTGGAACAATTCGTTCACTGAAATTATATAAGAAAGGAATAGTTGAAGGTTCTAATTTCTCTAAATTGGTACTCCGTAATTTTAATGTGTCTTTCCTCCATTTGTTTATTAGTGGTGAGATTGCGAGCCAAAAAGCATTCTCTATAAGTATATAAGATGAATAATTATACGGAGACTTGAGATCATGATCTGGAACTGCAAATGCGTGAGGATAAGCTCTTGTCCTTGTCCATGGCATTGAAAATGCACGGAAATATGCAACATCTATATCAAACATAAGGTTATTAAATACCGAACAATCATATTTTTAGACAAAATAAAAAAGAATGAATGAAAATGAAAAATGTTATTTATTTACCAAGAGCTTCTGCAATGTGAATACCAGACATAGCACTAGGAGACTCGATAATTACATCTGTGCCCTAAATTAAAAATCAAATGTAAAAATAAATTCATTTTGAAACCATAAAGCTAAACATTAATTAATGTGTAATATTTTGTTCACCTGACATGCCTCCCATGAAGTTTTCAGTAAATCTTCCAACCATCCACGGAACTACGAATGAATATACGTATAATAATCAATTTTGTTTTAAATGCAAGCAAGTTAAATAGAATATTATAAATCCTCACATTGACGAGACCTTCCTTAAAGAAGCCAAAAGTAAACATGCCGTACTCAACACAAATACGCTATAAATGAGAAATTTCAATCGGTTTTAATCTCTCATATATATATATATATTTGCATAATGGAGATATATCGAAATAATTACCATGAGTTCGGCAGGGTTACCACCGACATAACCAAATTCAATACCATGACCTTCGATCCAGTCTTTATATTCATCATGGGTAGCAATTTTTACTCTGTGACCTTCCTTTATGAGACCTTTAGCAAGAGCAATATAAGGCTGAACGTCACCACGCGATCCAATAGTAAGGCACGTTATGTGTAATGGTTTATCGAGTTTGGAAACGCTCGCTCCAATATCACCAAAATTTGATGCCTTTGGACAAATTTCTGACCACTGTTGCCATAACAATTGATCCTTGATTATAGCTTGTTTGATCATACTTTGACTATCAGATGAACTTCCCGATGGTATCTTCTTGTTTCCCTTATCAAGTAATTTCAATTTAAGTTCAATCATTTCGACAAATCTATCCCTTACATGCTCAAAACCAAATTCAAAAAACATTTCTTGTTGAGCTTTTGTAAGAATTTCCAATCCATAATATCCTAACATGGTTGCCTTTGTCTTTTTATTGAAATGAATATCTGCTATTGGCAATATCATCTAATTAAGATGACAAAATGATTTTTTTAAAAAAAAAGAATTGTCATGAATTGAAAATAAAATAATAATAAAAATTTAATTAATTACATTGGTATTTTGGGCTATAACCCGGGATTTGAAGCAAACATAGTTGTCGGATACGTAAAATTTGCCATATATAGGAAGCATACGCAAGAAATATCCATAGAATACTATATATAAATATTTATACAAATAAAATTCAGTATAAACTTGGAATAACAAAAGAAATTCTCGTGATAAAAGCATACCAGCATAAAGCTTCTCATTTTCTGATAAAGCAAAATGTTCCCTAAAATGTTGACGAGTTTCCTCCGAAGGATTTTCATCAAAAGAACTATAATACTTTTTAGGATTTTTCCAAAATACTCTAGCACGCCTGGAAACATATTTTGTTACATTCCATTGACTCTCTGTTGTTTCAGAAGCCGGTATAGGATCTAAAGTTGTTGATCTTTGTATAGACCTTGATGAATTAATTGAAGATTCTTGACTTCGACTCCGACTATGTTTTATTAACGCAATGAAGTCTGATTTGAGTGATGTAGGAATATTTGATTCAGGGGATAATGATCTAGTGCCTGTTGAACGTGACCGTTTAAGTTGATGTGGTTTGTGACCTTTCCAAAGTTCAACAAGTGTATCATATAAAGATTGACTATCCGAGAAGAACGCAAAAAAGTACTAAAAGGAAAAAAAGATTATACAAATTAGTAGATCTTAGAGAAACGATGACGGCTTAAAAAGGGAGATAATTACTTCTTCGCGATCATCTTGGTCCAAAGTATCGATTTGTATCGTGTTTGGAAAATTCATGGATAAATTATTTTGAATGTTCTCAATACTTTCAATAGGTATAACAATCTTTTAAAAAATAATCAAGGAATGTTAATTTTTTGTGAAGCTGTAAGCCAATGTTAACAAAGTTTATCTAATTATGCAAACCTTTACGTTATCACCACCATTATTAGCTCTTACTATGGATCTTTCTAATTGGGTTATCCATTCTTCCATAGAAGTTTGTGAATCAGCCTGAAATTTATACGTACGCTTCGGTGTGACAATCTTAAACCCGTTCTTTTTATGAGTTCTTTCAACTTTACTAGCATATTTTAAATCAATGATTTCTTCAGGACAATACATATCCTATAACAAATTAAGAGAAAGGAAATTTAGAACCATCTTCCCAATTAATATTATTGATATATTATTATAAAATAGATTACCATTGGATCTACGTAATAAGTAAGCACATCATTTTGAAGTGAAAAATGATACCGTTCGTATCTATTTCCAAAAGTTTTCTTTGCGAGGTTACCATCTTTCAATACAATATCCTAAATGAGGAAATTAAAGTTTGTATGTGTAACTATGGTAAAAAGGTTTGTATGCATATCGAAGATCGAATAGTAATGTTGTCACCTGTTCTCTTGGAAAATAAGCATGAAAGCAGATGTGATTTTCTGTCAGGTACATGAAACCTTGTAACATGATTGATCGCAATAAAGTACATCTAAACTCTATAATTAAAATGTTCCAAAAAGAGAGGAAAAAATTAAATATATTCCATTTTAGTAGGATAAAAAGAATTTATTAATTGATTTGTTTTGAATTCTCTATTACTTACCTCCTTTAAGTTGTTCTGGATTTGGTAATTCAAAAATCTCTTGCAATTTTTCTACGGTAGATTTTCCTTTTAATAATTTTTCTGATTGAATAATGAATTGTTGATCATCATCCGTTATTCCTTCAATATTATTCTCTTGAAATAAAGTTGTAAGATATATTGCATCCAAAGAGGAAACGCCTTTTCCAGAACTTCCACTTGAAGAATCTGAATCCGAATCTGCATAACATAATCGATGTTATCATTAATCCGAAAATAATAATAAAAGTGAAAAGCTAACCTTCGTTTGGACTGGTTGGACTGGTTGGGCTTGTTGGGCTTGTTGAACGTTGTGTTGAAGGATCAATGGTCTAAAATATTTAAGCGAGTTAAACCAAAAAAATTAAAAAGTTTTTCCTTTCTCCTCGTGATAAATAAATAAATAAACAAATAGATAAATAAATACTCACAGCTCCCATTGTACCAAATAAAACACTCATTAAATTATTATGAAACATTTCAGAGAATTCGGAATATTTATACCTTTTTTTACAACAAAAACGGGGAAGGTATTTTGTTGCCGATTTTTTTAGGCTAATAAATTAATGGAATAAATCGAATTCTATATAGACGACTTCAGGTGATCAAAAGTATCAAAAAAGGTGATAAAACGCCTTTAACTGTACTACTGTTAAATTACAAATAGTCCGTCCGAAATGAAATCATTTATTACTTATTTGTCAATATAACAATACCAATAATCTTACATATATGTTAATGAATAATCAATTTAACCGATTAAGCCCATTTTACAATTGATATTTTGAAACGGAATAATCTCAATTGAATTCGGAACTTCCAAAAATTATTTCTATACTATTGATTAATATACTATAGTTTTAAATAGTTCCAACGTATTAATAAAATATATGATGAGTAATGAAAGATTGATTTTGATATAGCATCCTGGCAGATGCCAAGAAAGTATGACATAATTACAAAATTGTCAAAGGCAAATTGATCGCGTTTACACTGTTGAGGAAAAAGTTTTTTCTTTCTTTATAAAATTAAATTAGACAATAGAGAAATATTCGATATTTCATTTAAATCGAAAAAAATAACCAATTTTTTATTAATATCCCAATAATATTAAGACCACTAAGATAGGTGTTAAATAACGATCAATATGAATCCTAGAAACCAAAAAGAAACCAATTTCAAATAACTCACCAAATCTCGTAAATAACGCTTATCGTTCATCCATTTAACCAAGAGTTTCAACGCATCTGATTTTTGCATGTTACCATACTCAACTAAAATATCGGCTAAAGTATCATTAACGCCCTTGGCCATACCTTGAGCATCTCTAAGGAAAATAAAATAATTTAATAAAAAAGGTATTCTTTAATAAAATCATCAAGATAGAAAAATATAATGTACATATCACTCACTATTCAACTACTTACCCACACACAAAAATTATTGCATCTTTTTGATCCAATAATTCGTACATTTCTTGACCTCTCTTTCTCAAAAGATCTTGGACATATTTTGGATTTCCATTTAATCCAGCGTCGGGTGCTCTACTAACTGCAATTAATAATTCTTTTAAAATACCACGTTCTAAAAATCCCTCCAATTCTTCACGATACAAATGGTCCTTTTCAATATCTCTGCACCCATAAAATAACCACATCTCTCCGAACTCATTCTCAATATTGCCCAATCGTCTTTTAGCAATAATTTGCTGTTCACGGTGTTGAATAAATCCTATAAAAGGTGCAACACCCGTTCCAGGACCGATCATAATCATAGGTCTTGAAATATCTGAAGGTACAGCAAATCCATGAGTATTTTGTTTCATGAATATAGGTATGACAACCTTTGTGGTCAAAGGAAACGGTTTATTCCTTTCGTAAACGTAACCACTCAAATGATCCAGCCATGGGGTACAAACTCCATATTTGCGCACACCATAAGGGTCCGGTGTTTTGTAATCTACAATATTAAAAGCAATATGAAATGAATTGCGATTCACAAGAGGAGAATTAGCGATAGAATAATATCGAGGTTTGTGAGATGGTAGAACGTCAAATAAACGTTCCACAGGTGGTTTACACGAAGGAAAGGTAACCAATAAATCAAGAAAAGTTGGAACTTGAAGGCGTAAACGATTAAACTGGTCAGCTCCTATGTTAATAAATATTTATGAATTGACTTATTAAACATTAAACATTTAATTAAAAAGATAATTAAATAAAGATAAAAAATAGAGAGATGAATACCTTGTTTACTGCAAAGGAAAAATAAAGTTTTTTTCTCTTCTTCGTCCGTCGTATACTCGGCCATCAACCTCAACAATGCTTTTCGTGGTAAAGAGGTTAAATCCACACCATATCGAAATAATTCCATAATTGAGGTCGTCTGAGCATTTCTCAGGTGTGATGGAAGCTCTGTACGGATAAAAGTCGATTTAACTCACAAGATGAATGAATAATTTAATCTCGTAGAAATTTTTTTTTACGCACCAGTTCCTTCAACACTCTCAATTGAAATTTCCTGATTAGCCTCGTTTTCACTAATTTCCAAAGTTTTTAAAATTTCCAAAACCAACTTCTTATTATTAGGTGCAATTATTCCAATGGAATCGCCGGGAACAAATTCCAATTTCTCCTTATAATCTTTGATATCCAATTCCAAATGAATCGTCCTCTTGAGAGCATCCGGACGAGTAAGACAACGAATCGCATCTAATCTAGCATTCACAATCGGAGTTGATGTATTAATAAAAGGAGGTAATGAAGAGTTGATGGACTCTTTCTTATTTGATTTTACAATTTTGCAAATCACGGTAGGAATACGTGGTAAAGCCGTGAGTTTTTCGGTTTTAGCCAATTCCGATAATTCAAACGTAATTTTTGTACCGCTCACAAGATTCAACTTTTCATCAACTGAATGTCCATTTTGAACTTTCAAAGGTAATGACATATCATTCTTATCATTAACCGAAAGATTCTTAACGGATTCAATAATATTTTCGACATGAACATTATTGTTGTTTTTTCCTTTTTGAACACATACTTTAGTTAATGCCGGCCATAATTTCTCGATCCAAGGATCAACGGTTGCTTCCAAGCTTGAAGAATGTAAAAGTTAGTATTTAAGATAATTTGTGAAGTTTAAAAATTCATTATCAAAGGTCTCAATTCTTATACATATATATATACATAATCTGTCATGGGCATGCATAGATATACTCTCATACCTCATCGCATCATCGGCTAAACCTTTATTATAAAAAGGAGTAGCGCCTAATTCCAACAATTTTTTCTCCAATCGCTTTGCCGTGTTGTTGAAATTCGTGTAATTCGTGTCGCCCAAACCTAACCAACAAGAAAGAAAGAAGGGAAAAAAATTAGCTTATAAGTACATCAATCGATAGCACAATGGATTTTAAATTACCAAGAATTGCATATTGTAAATGATTTAAAAATGTATTTGATTTAATTTTTCTCATAAATCGAAAGAATTTAGTAGCATTCTCAGGCGGATCACCATCTCCAGTATTAGAAGAAACAAGGATCAAAACATTTTCCTTTGATAAATCAACCTAAATTAAAGGTAATATTTTTTATATAAGAATTTTTTTCTTTAAGAATATATCTTTCTCATAGGTCAAATATACCTTGTCGTATTCTTCCATCACATGACACTCGTTATCAAAACCACGTTCTATGGCTTCTTGGTGTATATTTTTAGCGATCCATTCAGCGTTCCCAGTTTGAGAAGCATAAAGAATCACAAATCGTAAACTTTTTTCTGCGGTCATTTTCAACAAGATTGGATTAAAGATTGATCGGCCAATTATCGAACAAATAATAAATATTGAAAAAAAAAAAAAAAATCTTATGCGTAATGTATAAATTAAGTCTTTCTTTTCTTACATTAGATATATTTTTAGTTGAAACAACAGAAAACCGATCTAATTTCTTTGTTCATATTAAATAAGGTTATCTTTTCGGGGTTTGTAAAGTGCACAGTAACAAGTACACATGATTTCTAAGTCACCCTGCTTGTAATATAAATTGTAATATAAATTTTACAACAATAAATAAATGATCTTGACATAATTAAACCGTTTATAATTGGTATTTTGGTTAGGTTTCTATTTTTATGATACAATAGCATACTATTGCATACTCCTAAATGTTTGGGTTTCTGTTTGTAGCTTTTTTTTATATTAGGTTGTGAGAATCAGCGGATCAAACCTTACTAAATACAGTTAGTTACACAAATAGAACCGAATTTCAAATATTTAAAAAGACGAATTCAACATACCCCCATTTCCCTTTTTTTTCATGCTTTGTTCAACAACCTTTCGTGAAAAAAAAAAATAAAATAAAATAAAAAAATATCATATATATATATGTATCTTATTGATTAAGATATTGTATAAATTCATCATTTCCAATTTACATTTCACCAACTTTTTAATTCAAAACACAAACATGCGTCTAACAAAGTTATGTCAAACCTTCAAACGCAATAAATTGGCTCATAACAAGGCATCAAACGAGATATACATTTATACTCCATTACCCATTCATAAAAACGGTTACATAATCGAATTTCGTCATTCTCGTTTCTCAGAAGTATACTACTACAAATATAAAGAAAATGGCGACGGTACTTTAACAAAGTACGGATATTTGATTTGTGATAATTATCCTCACGTAAATAGTAGTAAGTTTGGTAAAAATCATAATGATAAGAGCAGGGCGATTGATTATAAAATGTCATTTCATAGTAACGATAAAGAATGCATATTTTATCAAACCGTCGCCGATAAAGTACAAATCGCTCTAGAAAAACGTTGGATGAATGAATTAAGGCAGAAAGAAAGAGTAGAAGTTTCCGCCACTAATGATGAGAATGACTTGTTCAATAATGAATGGTCTGATTTAATGCAACATAATAACAATTTGTTTATCTCCGATAATATACAACGTAGAAGGTTGGCTGAAATATTGGATAAATCGGATCAAATTATTCCTCAAAATATTCCTCGAAATTTACCCAAATTGTTTACTCAAAATCTACCTTTGATAGATAATCAATTATCTGATAATCCTTCTAATCCTTTAAATAATAATTATAACTGTGAAATTTTCACTCCGCCGCTTTCCCCTAAAACCCCCCCTTCTTCTCCGACTGAAAATTATAAACATTTTTCTCCAAAGAGTTTGCTGAATATGAATATAAGGCAGCGTGATAGAGATAGAGACCAAAATAAAGAAAAGGCTAGAAAATTGGTTCATTTAACTCATCCTAAATTCAGTAGGCAAGCTCCTTCCGTACATGTTTATGATCCTGAGGATAATTTAATTTATAAAGGTTGTCGATGTGAATATTGTATGACTGGTGATTATAATGAATAGGAAACCTTCTAATGTAAATTAAAAAAAAAAAAAAAACAAATCTAAAAAAAATATTCATAATGATTGTTTTAATAATTTATTTTAATTAAATTTTAAAATAAACTATTCTTTTTATTTAACAATAAATCTTTAATTCTTAAAAATTTAATATAAATTAGAAAAAGAAATCGGGTTCGATACAAATAAACCAATGATCATTTATTATGATTTTTTTCTATTAATTAATTATTATTTATATTATTTATATTACTATTCCCATGAAGTTCTCGATCAATGATCATTTCTTTTTTTGGACAGATTTGCTTGTCCGGATTAGGCAAATACTTATTTACAATTTTGCTTTCTAGTAATCCTACTAAAGAATCCTATTCCATTTATCCTAGTAAATTTTAGAGAATAATACCCATCTTCCATCCTCCAAATGCATATCCTTTATAAAGAAGCCTTTGTATTTGAAATGTTCATATGATTTTCATTTTTGTATAACATTGTTTTATTAAAATAATTTTTTTCTTGTAGATTTTACTGATAAATAGATTTTTTAACATTATTTTAATTATTATAAATATTGTGAAAAAAAAAAGTAATTTTTTGCCAATTAATTCCCTTAAAATATTAATTAACAATACAATTTTTTTTTTTAATAAAAATATCTTCAAAATTAATAATCTTTTGTTCTCTTAAGAAAGTCAAATAATTAGTTATCATTACAAAAATCACTAGCATTATTAATTAGGTTTAATGAAAAAGACTCTAATAAGATTAAATTTACATAGATCAAGACTTTCATCCTAATTGATCAAACAGCTCAAATAGTAATTAAATCTTATGAGTTGATTTATTTAAAAGAAAATCTATTGCTTAGGGGAAGAAGGGGGCAGTTTCCACCAGAGGTGTACGCCTCCCACAGTACCTTCTTGCTATATTACTTTATATTCTTTTTGCATTTCCTACACCTCTAGCTCAATAAAATTACTAAGTTGTTTTCCTGCCTAGCTGGAGACTCCACAATCTCAAAAATACTATTATTAATCTTACTTAGCTAAACTTTTTGGAATCTTATAAATACTAACTTGTTATTTTATTTAGCACGAGCTTTTTGAATGTAAATAAGCTTACTGTATGCAGAATAAAGTGAAGCGGTAAGCAAATTGTGAATACAATAAGTAGGCAAATAATGTTTGCAGGATAGTGAAGCAAAGCAGAGCATGTACACAAGATATGAAAACAAATAATGTTTGTGGGTAGCAAAGCAAAGCAAAGCATGTACACAAGATATAAGAGCAAATAGTGTCCGCAGTTTGCGGAGTGAAGCGGAGCATGTAACCAAACTATAAAGCAAATCGTGAAAGCATACAGTCAAACCTTGATATAGCGAACCCTTGATATAGCGAATTTTTAAATCAAATATATTAAAATTACCTTTACTATAGTGAACTAGCCAATTAAATTCTTTAAAAAATTCGTTATAAGCTTATAACGAAGTTGATATCCAGATCCTATAATTCGTTATATCAAGAGTTCACTGTACATGTTCCTGACCGGCAAGATAACAATGTCTGGCCAATGTTACAGAGCAAAGTGTATAAAAAAAATGTAACCTAATATATTCCTAGTATGTGCCTACTTTCCTTGATCTGAATTCCTTTAGCCAGTTAGCTTATCACCCTATTAGCCAAATAGACCTAGACCCATATCTGCGCTATTAAGCGTATCTAGTGAATTATCGGGCGGGAGTAGATGGCTTTTTTTTCGTAATGCTCAGAAGAAGATAAATAATACTCTGCTTCGACATATATAAAGACAGAAGGAGAATTAATTAATTGAATAAAAATTTTCTGAGGATATTATTACACTGTGAAAGATATTCTATATAAGATATCATCTTGTTAAGCTAGCCAAACAAATATTCGTAAAGAAGTTCGAGCCTAACTTGCAGAGCTTAAAGAAGTGACATTAGATGTGATACCATATCCACGTTCCAATAATTTGCTTGCTAAGTATCAAGAGGAAATCACACAACTTCAGGTGGTAGCTGAGAAAAAAAGAAATGGGACACATGATATTTCACAAAACAATTCTATAAATAAATTGGCCGACTGGTTAGCAGGTCCAATAAAGGGTTTTAAGTACAAAAGAATCTGAAAATATAAATCCCATTACATTTGATGAATGGGTAGACAAGCAGGAGTAGCTAGGAAAAGAAAATCCAGAACGGCATAAGGATGGATCGATTTGGTGGTTTTCAAGACGAATTCCAAAGTTAGCGTCCCAAAAGGTAAAAAACAAACATGGGTTTGGATACTGGAAACTTCCTAGAGAGGCATATAAACAAATAGTTATGTTAAGAAAATTCGGAATCTAATGGATGATGAAGAAGAATATGTTATTGGGATGGCTAATGATTGGAGAATTGGTAGAATGGTAGAGCAAATACAACTTGATAAATCTGGTATCTTTCTAGGCGTAAAAGAGATAGTTTCCAGGAGGAAAAGAAGAGTATCACATGAATCCTCATAGATAGCTGTCATTGCGTGTCCATTCTTATGGAAAAGCCAGTCTGGATGAACTTCTATTAATAGATAGGAGGAAGTGGTTATCCTGGAAAGATTTAGAGGCAATTAAACTTGATGAATATCAAGATAAGCCATATAATCTTGAACTAGAAGGCCAGCCCGATACATTACGTTTTCAGTTCATGGTATGTTCACGTTAAAAATTATATGGTTCAGGAATTCATGAAAATGGAACTGTATAGTGGCATAGTGATGAACTAGTCAATGTTAGCTATAAAATGGCATCAGAAACTTGCTGTCTTCTTTATCATTCTACAGAGTATACACTTTTTACTAGACTCTACACATCTTCAGGTATGGTCGAAGAAATGGGAGATAAAGGATGGCATTTTGGTAAGAAAAAGAAAGCTGGAAGTCTTACTGGAGAAGAAATTACGCTAGGACAACTAAAGGAAATTGATGAATTTTTAGTATTAAAAACCCGAGAGTATGTTAACCATATTTGCTATGAACTTTGACCAGTTCTGAGATCACAAGGACCACCAGGACCATTTTATGATGGCGACTTGAAATGTATCATAGCAGAATTACAATGACTAATAGAACATGGAGAAACAAAGTAGGCTATAGGGCTAACGCCAGCTCATGAAAGTGCCCTTGCGAAATTTAATGAAAAGATACGAGCATCCGGCTGTATTTTAGATGATTTGCATGTTCTTGAAAAGCCAGAAAAATCTGGAGGTATAGGAATAAAAATCGTCGTCAAGGATATTTTGGGTAACGAAATGTGGAATAGTGGTAGGTATCTTAAATAACGTAAGCTAACAGTATTTTTCCATAATAATCATGCATGAACAGGAGGTATACCTGAAATGCCTTGAGTATCTTCAGTCTATGATATGGACTATGAATGTGAAAGAGCACTTGTTTCCGCATGCACAAAAACTAAGAAGGAGGAGGTTAATATTGATAAAAAAAGATTGCTAAAGCTCTTATATCATTTGTCGTAAAAAACCTTTCAAGAGCTACAAGAATATGGATTATAGGTAAGGAGATTCTAACTCATGAAAGTATTCTTTATCATAGTTCTTATGAATGGAAAAAGCTGAATGATGCATTCATATATGAAAAATCGCAATCCATACCTAAAGAATTTTTTTGGGGAGAGACTGTAGATATTCATCAATGGATCGAAAATGAGTAGATCCTAAAGGGATCATATTAATCTAATACACTGGCTCCTTTAGAAGAGTTTAAGCTGAGTTTGATAAAGTCTTAAAATTATTAGGAGGCGCCCAGTCTTATCGATTCCATTGCTGGCGAGAAAAAGAAGGTATTGCGCTTACGCCTAGAAATATTGTAGAGATCTGACGTAAATCACAGGTGGAATCAATAGTATGGAATACATCAATAGACCCTCCCCCAAGCATATTTATATAGATCTTCGTAGAGCATATCTTGACTGTGAAGATTTAGAACGAAGTGTATCAGAAGCATTGCCTTAGATCAGACGATATAGATTCCCAAAAAAAATATAACAACATACTCAAGTTGACAATATTGATACTATTCGCAACTTGATAGGTATTATTTAGCTTATAGCATGAGAATTCGCTCAGGACTTGCATCTATTTACAGCAGGGCTTATTAGACAACATCTTGCAGAAAAAGAAGGTTGGATACTAACGCCCTTAGTCGATTATTTGCTAAGCAGAGGATGGCTTTCAAGCGCAACTCCAAGAGAAGTTATATATAGCGTAGGTAAAAAATCCCGCATTGAGTTTCCACTAGATTGTGATTTAGCTGTTCGTTTCGTAGGCTCTTGTGCTTATAATACGCAAGTAACATATATGTTAGTTCAGGATATAAATGAAGCGGATATGTTAGTCAACTGGCTAGCAAAAAATAAACGCTGACCAAACTAGACCTGAACAGAGCAAGGAACTTTAATCAAGTATGAGGGTGATAAAAGGCGTGGGCAGTAATTACATATCCATTCTTTCGTCCTTGCCTATACCCATATAGCTGTACTCGAACAGTTAAAACGTTTTCCAGTTAAAAATGTATTGCGAGTATGCACAGATGCCATTTACACCACAGTAATTCCTGAAACTATTTTAGATGAAACTATTGTTGAGATGGGGTAAGAATTGCTCTCCAATTTTGATAATAGCCTCTTTGCTAAAGCGAAAAATAATGCAGAGTTAAAAGAAATGCATGCGAAATATGAGACTGAACTAGATAAAAAAGAAAGCAGTATGAATCAGCTATTGTTCTAGAAACACCAGAAATTAAGTATGGTCAATGGCGCAAGAAAAAAGAGGGATATACTTATTGTAAAGAAGCATCATTCTAAGCTATCAATTATGAAAGTATACTAGAAATCCCTTCAAGTGATGTACCTCCTCTTTCTATTGATTCGAAACTAATAACATTGCAAAAAGTTTATCTAGTTAGCCAAGGCAGCAGCGGGAAAATAACACG